TGCCAACATCAAGTATAGGGTCATTATCATTAGCATCTTCTAATTTCACTAAAACCTTGGTTGTTGAGCTGAGAGGTGGTGATCCTTTATCAACAGCCTTAACTTCTAATTCATATTCTGTTTTTCTTTCATAGTCTAGAGAATTCTTGCAGGTTATATTCCCTGTTTCTGGATCCACGTTAAACAGATTGGATTCTATACTAAACTTAAACATGGAATTATCTGTGTCCTTAAAGTCAATCTCATAAGCGTATACCTGTCCCATTCCGTCCATGCATGCGTCACCTTCTAAAAGTAGGAAATTGTAGAGGGATTGATTAAACTTGGGGCTCTCATTAACATCAGTAACACGAATTGTAACATTGGTAGTCTCCCTTTCTTCTGGTAAATTCTCGTCTGACACAGAGACGATGAGTTCAAAGAATAGAGTTTGCTTCTGTCTTGCTGTATTCTTTAAATAAAGAGATCCATTTTGTGTTATTTCAAAATATCCAAAAGAACCACTTAAGATGTTGTATTTGTTCTTCCGATATTTTTCATTTTTATCTTCATCTACAGCAATAACATATCCAACAAACACGTTAGAATCATCTTCAGACACATTAAATGTATAGTTCTTCTTTGTGAACTTGGCTGGTTCATTAACATCAATGATCTCAATTGTTACTGTTGCTGAATTCTTGTTGATTCCATCAGATGCTTCTATTATGAATATATAATTGTCTTTGGTTTCTTTGTCAATCTCAGAATTTCTTTTGACTTTTATGACGGCGTCTCTGTCATTATTTGTTAAAGAAAATGGTAAATCATCTCCGCCTGATAAAGTATAAGTTATGTTGTTATTTGGTGTTATATCTCGATCAGCTGTCGTAATCTGTGAAAGAAAACTCAACATGGTAATATGTTATTAAATGATAACGAAGTTAATGTAGTGATTCTACAGTTGTAGATGAAGAGTAAGGAGGAAGTGTGACTTCCTGTAACACCCCAAGGTGATCATACAAGACTTTTATGTTAGACCTTTGTTTGCGTTTGAGCGTTTTTCGATTCATTTCTCATCAAGTGCGAGTTAAAGATACATAGTCCTTGATTCTGTTTTCTTCAGTCTCCATTCTTTCAAGATCCCCGAGACAACCGCAATTAACATGTTCGTGAAAATATTGTCCGACAGTGATATTATCTTAAGAGAAACTAAGTTATAAATAAGTGGCTTTGGAACTTCAACAGGTTAGCGAGGACAAATTAAGGAAACAGTATTCTGATTTAAAAGGGAAAGCAGTGATAGTTATGGGTAGGGTAAGAGTCTGTACATGCTCTACATAACTTTGCAATAGCCCTAATCATCTTTCAGGTTTGTCTCTGCCAATGTTGCAGGTCTTACAGAATGCCATGGAAAAATGTCTACAGTCTGCACATGAGATCAAAAACAGGGGGCTAATGCCAAGGTCACTGAAATGTCCCCCTATGCACATCACATTATGACCAACAACTTAATTTCATTTTACAACGTGGTCAGTCTTCCCACAAACATCATGGACAGACTAGGAACGAAAGCTTGCCCTGGAAGTATGTACCTAGGTTAGTAAATTTCAGCAGGACAAAGTTTCAACATAAGAATATAAATCTTTGATACTTTGATTCATTTCATAATTACCTTTACACTCTTTCCACTTGTGTCTTGAAATAAAACGACTGCTTCAGGATCATTCTCCTTCACCTTACCAAAATATGTCTGTCTAGGAAACACTGGCGGATTATCATTTATATCCTCTATACTAATTATGACAGATCCAACATCCTACAAAAATGACTCAAGGTTAATGTTGTGTTTTTAATCTATTGGCCAAAATAATAGTATTTGTCAATCTCGTTTTATATATCGGGTGGCTCGGAAAAATAGATACCAATTTTCATTCCATTTTCATATTTTGACCTAAATTTGAGTAATAATATAATTAGTAACCCCTAATTGTAGAGAATATGTCACCTACGTTTTCTTAAGATATCAACTAAATATAACAGCCATTATAAAGCCAATCACCGAAACTAGGTCAAACTGTTTAACTAACAATTAGTACTCTCAGTTTTAATAGTAAGCCTTTTAAAACAAATTCAGTTTGATCAAAAAGATACATAGGTATAAATAGCATACTTTAGAAATAAATTCAGGTATAATTTACAACGTTTTTGATAATGAATTTTTTTTTACATAAAAGCAGAATGCCCCTTTTAAAAAAGATATATAACATATCTTCACAAAAATTAAGCTTCATATTTTGAAACACTTTGAAATGGCAGCAGTTTTAAATTTCCTTGTAAATCTAATTTCTTTGATACATCCTGAAAGTGTTACCAATTTTTACCGGGCAACCCAATATATGTCACAGGGGTGTTCCAGGCATAGCCAACAGCAATAAACAATCAGTTTTGGTTTCGGATGGAATAAAATTCAATGGTAATTAACGTGCATCCTTCGTCAACCATGTGGCGGTTAGTTATGTTTATGCTCTATGTTTCCTAGTGTGCCTGCAGTCGGTTGGTGAAACTCTAGATTCAAGATTCTAGTCTGCAACAAAGACCACTCTGGCATAATGTGTTTAAGTATTTTAATTACCCTTAAAGTACATTGATTATCCTTTTCAAAAGTTGCTTTGATTTTACAATGGTATTCACTATTACCCCTTTCTCTGTCCAATATCTTGTTAGTATATATCTAAATATTAAAATAATAGACGATTTCAAATAAAAAAAAAATGCGATTATTGGCATTTTAATCTGACCAATCAGATTGGCAGAACAGAGATGAGGTACATTCTTTCCAAGTAAATATTCCAAAGAAAGGTTTGATTTTCTCACGAAAATCTTGCTCAATTCTGTACCGTACAGACCTACGTATTCACCAAAATATGTAATGGCACGCTACTTTCGTTTTGTTTACTTTCGCAAACAGCGTCATAACGAGTGATTTGTTTTGATTGGCTGAAATTTGCTACCAATACAGAAGGACCAATTTTGATTGGACCATATTTAGCTATAAATGCGTAATTTTTCTCACTTGTGTTGCCCCGAGGAAGTATGACGAATGGGGGTTTGGTTTGGACACGGTGGGCAATTAGATTCAATGATCCTTACCGTGTTTTGTTCAAAAGTAAATTCTGGACAGTCGACAAATTCAAAATCTTTAAATCCTGGTAAAGAGAAGTCGTCAATCCTTGTTCCGTTAGGTTTTTCTTCTTCAATACTAATCGAATCAAATGTCTCATTGATGACTATTTCTAACTTAAATAACATCGAGTCATGTACCTTAACACCACCATATATAGTTTCAACTTTTAACATCATTACCTTAAAGTAGTAATTTAGAATGATAGAAAATGATGTCCTAAATTATTAGTCCGAAACATCTGCCTCTATTCCAGCCTCTGATAGAAAATTTACAGTTATCTGCTGGAGTAGAGTCAGAAAAACTAGACCTATTTTACGAAGATTTTCCACATCTCCGAAGATGCGTTTTCATAACATAATATTAATTACCTTAATGATGACAGTAAAATAGTGTGACATTCGTTTTGTAGGTATCACGTGACTCTGTGACCCTTGGACCAACACCGACGAGACATAAATGGTGTAGGGTTTTAAAGTGATATGACTGGACTACAAAAATATAGGTCTATAGTAAAGTAAGATTGTTGATAACTTTTCTAAAATAGGCTAATAGCACTATATGAAGCAGGCCCTACCAGACAGGATTTAAATACCTCAGATTGAAGAAGTTTAGTGTCACTAACTATAACCTGTACTTCGTTATTTTCGTTTAAACCGTTAACCTCTATTTTTCGTCTTTGTGGTATTAGCTCAAAGTTAGTATCTATTAAAGATTCTTGGGGAACATTTAAACTGAAATCTGTAATCAAAAACACAATGTACAAATAAAAAAAAATCGTACTGATCAAAAAATTATGAATCAAATTTTGTCTTTTCACCACTTACACTAAAAAAGATTAGCTTGCCAGGCAAGGTAATATACGACCACTGGCAGCTTTGATTTTAAATAAAAATATTTGGCTGCACATACCCATATTTCACGCGTTATCAACTCGACAACAGCGGCAAAATGCGTCACCTATTTTCGTGTAAAATGTTTGATCTATAAATAAGTCGAGGAAAAAATGTTGTATGGATACCGGATGGTATAATTAACTTCTCTTAGTATTTATTTTTAATATCAATTCATTATAACTAATGATAATTCATTCAAAGAACCATGATTTAAAATAAGAAATAGTGACTGACAAAATAAGATACGTAGCGCGATTTATTGATAAAAGTCATTGAAACAACATAAGAATATGGCCCGCATTGTGTTCCATAGAATTTTTCTGCTGACACGGAATCCGCTAGTTGATCACGTGACTTCATTCGTTGGACTACATTCTAGCAGACGACACTTGGAATTCCGATTACAGTTAGGGATTATAAGGAAATTCGGACGATAAAAAATTGTGACGTTTGGTAAGTGAAATCCGCCATTTTGTATTTGTCAAAGCATACATTTATACATTTTACCTTGCTTGAAACTACTGGATTCATTCTACTAGCTGACATTGTAGAGATAAACCTATGATTATCAAAACAAGCAAATGCGGAGGTCACGCGAGGTCGCACATGTAAATTATTAATCCTTTTCAGAAATACACGAAAAATAGGTTAGCACGAAATTAGGTTACCTGACTATATAAATATGGTGGCTATCCATAAAAGAAAATTAGTGAATGTCTCATTCGGAACACCGCAATTATGTTCTCAGCTTCTTTGAGGATAAAGATATGTGTTTAGGCCCTATATAGATTCATTAACAATCCATTTCCAACAATGGTTTAAGGTTTTACACTTTCATCTTATATCTTGACGGCAATGGCCACTTTCTTGTGTCACGGTCGGCGATTTGAATGGATTTTACGACAGCGAATACAGCGAATCAGAGCCCTCCATTTAATTCTTTACAGTCTTTCTGTCGAGGGTCCAGACTGGTTGTATTCGCCAGCGGACAATCCAATAAAGAACCTGGATTCCATACAGTGCAGCGTACGATTTCCAGGAACATAATATGATAATGCTGAAATTAGAATAGAACTAAGAATCAAAACTTACTCAAAGCTTTATTGGGCTCTATATTGGCAAGAATAACTTGGTATTCATACTTGTTACTAAATAACTTATCTGGTAGTTCCACACATTGTCCGTCTATTTCAGCATGGTTTCTATCACATTTACATTTTCCTTCTGTTTTAGAGCAGACTGTGTCGGGATCAATACAGATTTTATAAATATCATTATCAAAACTACACTCATCGCCCAATGTGACATTTGTGACTTCTGAAAATAAGTGATCTATTTATTTCCCTCATTCACCACTTCACAGACTCAGTTATCGATTGACTGCCTTTAATGTCAACCGCACATTAATCTGAATGTGTATGTGTTCCAGTTGTAAGCCTTTCGGGTCTTGGGATACAAATAAGGCTCAGCTCAGCCAAAGCGCTTTATAGACGCAAGTCTCCCATGGAGCCCTCTGAAAAGGGATTACTTACGAATTTTTAAAAAATAAATTTGTTTTGGTTCATTCTGAGTCATATTTTTGGGCAAAAATGTATACGCTTGTATATATTCATATAATATTTTTATATTTGTATTTGCACGAAATGAAGTTGGGGTATACAAACCATCCATATCTTTCTAGGATTTTTGGCCCCTCAGCGTCTCCACTGACCGTGTTTAACTAGATAGCAAATCGTGACATGGTAGCAGTGGGCCTCCATTAGTCACAAAACTGTTTAATGCCATTACGTTGTTGTCAGAGCAGTATAGTTAAATCAAGCTATAATTCTAACATAGATGTTCGATGTGACAAAGATATAAGGTGGCAATATAATAATTTTCTATGTTCAGAATGGCTTTATTGTGCTAGACTAAAAGATAATAATTGAGAGCCTACACCATGGTAAAGAAAATGAAATTTTTTTACTATAATTACCTTGTTGTGGAAAAACTGTTGTACATTCTTCAATATCTGGTTTTATAGTATGTAAATGTACCAGTGTCGAATCTTGAACTTCAACATCACCGTATACAGCCCTCATTCGAATCATAAAATTCTGTTAAATATTAGTAAAAGAACCGAAAGTTAAATTTCATCAGAGAAGTTGGGATCTGGTGAAAAAAAATTGGGGGTGGGGGGGATGCTATCAGGACAAACAATTTTAAATTTGATTATCAAATATTTCATCAGACTTACCTCTAATAATAGATTTCGAGTGTTAAAAATCCACACTTTAAGTTCTCCATTGGAACTATCATACTTAAAGTTATTTGATATATTGGGTATGGTGTCAATCTGAATATTATTCAAGGTTAGAACTGTTAATTCATAATCTGAAATTAGAATTAATACCAAATATAACTAATCAAAGACATGGACGATTACGTAGAACGATTTCAATATCATATTACAAAAAACACAATATAATTGTATAAATATACTTCTTAAATAACAAAGTTCATAACGTTTCAACACAATTTACACGTGTCATCAGAAGATTAATTTGTAGAAAGGGGGTTAAAATGACAATGAATAATTGGATGAAATGATGCAAGCATCCTCACAATGCCAAGCTATTTCAGAAATTTGTAAATGCAGTGATTTACTTGGATTGTAAGGTAACGAAAACAGCTAATCAGAGACCTCGACAGAAAGTATGTAAACAAAAGGTTAGAATAAATGAATACTATTGCAGTCAAGGTATAAGACGAAGTTCGTAATAGCCAGACAATGTGAAGATGTAAGGCAGGTAATTAACAGATGATATAAATGTTTATCTTGCTTTATATAATATCAAAAATATACACACCTATCGTTATGTTTTCACCCTGTGTAATAGTTTCATTAACAAAATCTTTCACGAATAATTTGCTTGGTACATTCTCACACTGTCCATCTATGTTAGTATAATTTCTATCACACACACAACTCATAATTCCGTCTAGGCCTTGAGAACATACTGCGTTAGAATTAACACAAATTTTATTAAAACCTTCATCCAAACCACATTTATCGCCCAAAGTTACATCTGAAAATAGAGCACAAATTACTTTGTTTAAATAGTTTTCAAATTATAACATGGCAGCATTGAACCTCAATTTATCTCAAAACTGTGGCAGGCCTCTACGTTGTTAATCATATGAAACTATGTATGGTTCTTACATGGAAATAACACACACGATCGTAGTTCACAAGTATTTTGAATCTCTTCCTCGACTTCATAAGTTGAATTTTTAAAAAAGGCTATAATATTTGTTGCGGCCAAAAGCATATCATGTTGTTAATCTGTTTTATCCCAGGTTGCTGGATATGTTTTGTTTTTGTTTTCTTTATGTTTTCTCATATTTGTTTACCTTTGTATTTATTGGCATATACAGTTGTCCATAATAAGTTTATTTTCCCTTAAATAGTGGTCCATACTGTAAATAATTTTCATAAGGTCAAGGACAAACGCCATTTTACAAACGAATGAATAACGAACGACTAACGCCAATTGTTTTGCTTTTGTAACGTCCGTGGGTTTTGTCAACAACACAAAACCTGCGGTTTTGTAACATTTATTGTATACGAAGCCGTTGAGTATTAAATTATTGTCTGATGACTCCCGTGGTTATGGATTTCGAACGATTTAACATTTGTATCGAGGAACGCTTTCATATGATGCCATACTTTTCAAGCCAACCATGCCCACGTATTTTTCCTTCCACACCATGGTTGTGGCCGTCATATTAGTTTTGTGTTGCAAAGACACTTCGTGTGGAAGAAACTGTAACGGATTTGTGTTAAACGATAAGCTGTGTACTGTACCGTAAGAC